ACTTATCTTGCACTTCTTTATGCAAACAATATGTATGAGAACAACAGGGCAATATTACTCTCGATCAACCTGCTGTGGAGGTAAGAAGTTATTTTGCACAACTGCTGTATGCATACTTTCTAGTGGATAAACAACGGCATCTCTCACAACATTCTAGTACAGAGGGGACAAAAGGTAGAAAACGCCCAGTTCTAATATTGCAACTTTCTCCTTGCTCCCCGCCCTTAATTCAGACTAGACCAAATAAACATCAGCTTTAGTTTCCACTGTTTCATGCATGCACAGAAATAACAAATTAAAGCCCAGGCACTTGCTTCACAAACCACACACAATGATTATACCAAAATCAACTAAGAGTTTTGTGGTATCTCAAAGGCCAACACATTTATTATGCCATAAGCTTTTGTAGATTAAGAGTCCAGTTTATCAGATGCATGAAATGTAATCCTCAATTGGCAGGTATTTATTACACAGATGGGACGCGGATGGTGCTGTGGGTTAAACCACAGAGCCTAGGGCTTGCCGATCAGAAGGGTGGCGGTTCGAATCTCCGCAAAAGGGTGAGCTCCCATTGCCAACCTAGCAGCTCGAAAGCACGTCAAAGTGCAAGGAGATAAATAGGTACCGTTCCGGCAGGAAGGTAAACAGCGTTTCCGTGCGTTGCTCTGGTTTGCCAGAAGCGGTTTAGTCATGCTGGCAACATGACCCGGAAGCTCCCTCAGCCAGTAAAGTGAGATGAGCGCCACAACCCCAGAGTCGTCCATGACTGGATCTAATTGTCTCTTTACCTTTATTACACAGGTGCATAAGTGTAAAAGTTGGAGTTAAACAGCAATGAAGTAGAAAAAGGATGCTCTGTGATAATTTGGTTCTTACTTTTTTTTTGCATTTCATTGCCATTTGACTCCCAACTATTACCTTTCCCACTCCTTTATGCCCATGTGTATAAATACCTGCCAACTGAGGATTACATTTAATCCACAAAAGGTTGCGCCATAATAAATTTGTTAGTCTTTATGGTGCCACAAGACTCTTCTGTGTTTTTACTGCAGGGAGACCAACACAGCTATCCCTCTGGAAATGATTATAACTTCACTCCAAAATTATTGTTATAAAACAAACACATTTTAAATCTATTTTTGAAGCCAAACAGTTTATAGGAAAAAAAGTAATCAAACTAGGGTTCTTCCCTATATATCTAAATAAGCTCAAATATTCTTTGTAATGATTAGGATGAAATGCAAACTAAAAAAAACCCTGGGGAGGAAAGCAAAGCAGAGCTGATGTGCCCCAAGGGCTATAAGTTAATTTTGCTTGGTGCAAGGAACCTTGATAAAATGGATCATCGGCTTTTATTTATTCATTCAAAAAGTCATTATGGCTGTTAGGAAAGTCTTAAGAACTTGACAGCCATATAAACACATGGAGCAAAACCCCAGAATCATACAAACTACAAAAAAAAATATTTTAAAAATATTTATGGGGTAAATTAAGCTTGATTGGCAATGGCCATAATTCTTCATAGCTTCTGCTGCAAAGTATGGGTTTGGATCCATCCAAACCCATCTCAGTCGTAGATGGGGCCCTCTTTTCTCTCCTCATGGTGCTTGTGTCTGGGATAACCCAACAAGGTAATATCCTTCATCACAAAACTATTAATCCTTACCCCAAACAGATTGTCTCTTTTAGCTGTAACAAAACCAGCATCATGAACCATGCAAATCAAACTGAAATACAGTACAACATTTCCAATATATATATATATAATGTTCTATCCTGGTTTTGCCATATAAAACTTGGAAGATACAGACTGATCTAAATTATTTTAAAATATGTATTGTTTTCCAGATTCTTGATTTCAGTGCTCTCAAGTGCACTTACAGTAAAAATTATTTCTTTATATAACTGCAGCTTATACTGGGAGTGCTACATAAAGGTACAGATATAAGCAAATATAGCTTAGCATTGCATCATATCTACATTTGTGGACAAGCTGCAACTAGATTGCAGTAAGATACCAAAATATGTAAAATGCTGCCTCTTCAGATAACTGACTTGCACGTCTCCTGCCTTCACGTTATCAGATAGTTTTGTAAAGTGACTACATTTCTGTGCACTCTTCCAAGTAAATCTCAAGGAAAGAAAGTAAACTTACTTATGAGTAAGCATGCATCACGTTGTGTTGCATATTCTCTAAAAATGTGCAGACAGTTTAAGAACAGTTCACAAAGGACGCATATATGCATACGAGCAATGTATATTCACAACATGCGTCCTATTCTTTCTCTGGAAACCTTCCTTTTTCACAGGATTCTCGCACATTTTTCCAGGTACTGAGCTGTATGTGACCTCCTTAACTTAAACGTCCACACATGCATCCAGAAAGCTAAGGAACGTTTGTGCACAGTTAAGTCTTGCATATATACTGCTGGAATAGTTTATAATTCCTAAAGATAGTAGTGATTGATTCCTCTATAAAAGCCACACTCTAGTGTATCTCTGAAGCTTATATATCGTATTTTTCCGTTTATAAGACTAGGTTTCCCCCCTAAAAAAATGTCAAAAATTAGATGGCGTCTTAAACTCTGAGCCATCTCCCCCCATTTTCTTAAATCTGAGTCCCCCAAAACAGTCTTATACATAGGGGTGTCTTATAGACGGAAAAATACGGTACTTCCTAAATACCCATGTTCTGTCTAAATAAACTTATTCTAAAGGACTTTCAGAAAGGGAAGAAGATGGGTTGCATATAATGGTGCTCCTCTGCTGATTGAGTGCACTTTTGATTCAGTCAGCGGAAGAGGGGGAGGGAAGGTGATTTTTCATGGATTCCCTTTCTCCCCCCCCCCAGCCCCCCGATTTCCCCCAGAGAGTTGGGGGGACCAGCATGAAAGGTGTTATAGGAATAGGGGACACTGGCAAAAATCACTTTCCTTGGCAATTCACTGATGGAAACCTCTGCTGGATCAGAGAAGCTTCTGTCAGCAGAGGCACATGAGCTATATTTTAAAGATATAAAATGTCCATTTTGATTATAAATTATTTATATGAAATTGTTTTACTATAGGCAAGATAATTCTGAGTAACAAAAGATCCAAGCTCAGGCAAGATTTATGTGGAAACAAGACCCGTTCTTTCCAGTACGATTCACTTCCAAGTATGTATTTTTAAGGCTGATATCCTAAACACAATAAAAATCCAGCCACCCTACTGACCCAAATGTAATAAAACCTATAGATAAACCAACAATTCGGCTAGAAATAATCACGGAGCTAGAACAGAAACTAATAAAATCTGTAGCTCAGGAAATGATCAGCTTAATTCTTGTCCCTGCCACGGAATACGGAGGACACCTTTGGTTTCCTCAAACCAACAGATTTTAGCCTCTATCTACAATATTTAAAATAACAAGATTGTCTTGTGTTAAACAGTTGTTCGAAAGATTTATACATACTTTATACATTCTGGAGCTAAGATCATTTCAAGCAGTTCAATGACGACTTGGGAGGCTTTGCATCATATAAATTAGCCATTCGTTACTATTTACAAGTTATGCTTTAAATGTCACAAAAGCCCTTTCTTAGCTAGTATGGGAGACAGTTCCCACTTGCATTGCCTGTATGGTGGCCCGATGGTGCATGAGACTATATTGTCTAATGCCTTCTACTCAGTGCTCTTTTTCTAGAAAAAGAGGTGCCGGAACTCACTATGAATGCCTCCTTTGATCTCTTATAATGGCAATGGCACTCAGCTGAGAGGTGCCTGGACTGAGTTCCAGTGAGTTCCAGCTGGGGGGGGTGAAAGCCCTGCTTCTACTCATGAGTCGATTGGTGAAACCTGAGTGTGAAGCCTCTTTTTCTATCTGACATCTCCACTGTTATTTGCCTCACTGTTCTGGGAAACTTGGCAAGCTGGTAGAAAAAAGTCTGGAGAAAAGCCTGATCAATTTCATGAGCAAATGAATCTAATTTTTAAAATTGGGTATGTGGTTTGTGTGTATGCCCGCACACACGCACAAGGCACAAGTAATAATAATATAATGAAATTTAGGTGAGGAAGCGTCAGTGAAATCGGCAACATTTTCCCTTCTTGGGTTGCACCAGAGAGCAAGTGGGTGGGGAATAGTGACTCAAATAAGTCACTGGACACATGCCACTGGTTACAGAAAAGAAAGGAGAAATCAGGTAATCTTGCTTGTCAACAGTGACCAAAAAGGTATTTCTATACAAGGAAGAGAGGTTAAAATATGGAAATGAGCCATTCACATAATGGAATAACACTGGGCACTGAACTAAAAGGAAGCACTTCAAATAGAAAGCACCTGTTCACAGGTGGCACAAAAACGACACCACAGGAAAGCTGAAATGCAATTGATGCGCATGCAGGAAGGCACATCTACAATATTTTAACAATCTGATGCTAGCACTGTGTTTATTTCGTGAATGCACACCAACAGTGGGAAAGAGCTCAAAAGCACTTTTAAGTGGCATGTCTGGAATCTGTCTTGCTCATTATACTGTTATTACGTATTTGGATTTGTCCTAATAATTTTTTATTTTTTCTTTTGTAGATGTTTAGAACACATCGTACATTCACACAAAACACTGAAGTGACTCTTTATTTTAATAAATTAGCATACTGAACTAGTTTGGTTTGATATAACACAACATTCGAATTCAGCAGCAGGTGTGACCAAGTTTAACTACTGCCACACACCCAATGTGCTCTGTTAACACAAGTTACAATAATGCAGTTCAAATACCTGACATAAAAAAGCACCAAACTCCAGCTTTGTATTGATATTATTTCAGGATGTCTTTCACAGGATTAAACCTGAAAGAGTTGTTTAAAAATAAATCCACTACATTTTAAGATCTGATGAGGCAGTAATGAAAATTTGCGTTATTTTGGGCAAGAGATTCCAGCGGCAACAGTCTGTAGAACCTCAAATCAATGTTGCCTGTGGTGTTTTATTATTTATTGCATGTTATGCTAAGTACCTGTGAAAGGGGACATTCCTTGGCCAATGAACTCTGGTTCATATCCTTCAGTAAGTCCTTCAGAGCATTTCTTACTGTTGTGTGAGACCATTGTTCAGGAGGCAAGTCTTCTAGTTTAGGGCAACTATTTGAGACATAGATTAGAAAAAGGATTATTACAAGATTGCATTCTGCTGCAGAACATTCCTTTAAGACAGACAGATTTCATTTTGTGCATCAAGCAGATGCATCTGGAGATTGCTCTCAGTCTCCTGATTGTTCCGATTAGTTAATTACTTTATACAACACATCTGCTGTATTGATGCATGAATTATACATCAGCTGCATGTGGCGACTATTTTTTCATGTTACTTCTACCTTCCTGCTCTGATGCGCTTGGTAAAACAATTTAAGGTGTAATGCCTTCTCACGACTGATCATGAAAAGAATTAATATATTAGCTTCCCCCACTTTTAGTTTAGCGAAATTTAAAAAACCTCGACAGCAACAATAAGAGCGAACAAGTCATTCTTTTTTTTTCCAAAACGCACACAGATGGTGCTGTTCATGATATGCAAAAATATTTTTCTCTTAAGTAAACTTTATGTAAAATGCCTTCTTGTAATGCATCATTTAATTGACTAAAATGCAATATACTTTTAATGAGATACCAAAAGGAAAGCTATGAATCGCAGCTTTGTGAATATAAGGTTTCTACAATATTTTGGGGCGTGGGGTGGGTCCTGAAGAACTGCAGTAACAAAAGAATGCAGGTATTATTCTGAAGGGTGGCCTGCATTAACTCAGCAGGAACTGAATATTCACAATATATCAAATTCTAGACTGCCACCCGGCGTGACATACCTGTGCAACTGGATTTTCAGTGTGACCACGTGATAAACATCCTGCAGCATGTCAGCTACTGTAGCATCAGGGGCATCTGTCACATAGGAGAGAGGAACTGGGTTCCATTTCCCAACCTGGATTAGTCCTGCACCAGACAGAAAGATTACAGGAAAAGAGGTTTCAATCGTGGGGCTGGTAATTTTAAGAAAACAGGTAAAAGAATCCATGATTACGGGATTCTTTTATATCACGCAGTTATTTTTAAAATGCACAATCAATCAAGTATGTCCTCTCCTCTTACATTAACAGATGGGTGGATATTGAGCGAGTTACTATACTGAAAAACATGCGTTTGTAAATTTCCCTGTAAGAAACAATAAGAGATGGCTCAGTCCTGGGCGGCGGGGGAAGGTTAACTTTCTCAACTGTCCACCTGCTGAAACGTGTCTCTTCCTTATGGATCTTCAGTGGTATAGATTATTAAGGATTGTTACTCCACTGAAGGCATTTAAAAACAAAGCCATACTTCCAATGTTTCACACGAACAAAATATATGCTAAGAAAAATGCAATGCAAAATTTGAAATATACATTTTACATGGCTGCTGATTATAAGCTCTAGCACGGCGTATCTGAAAATAAGGAATACCCTGTCCGCCCAGTCCCCCCACTAAAAGTAAATGAAGACTGTTTTGCAATTTATCAAGAAATGTTTACCTTTTGCTTGAGCAGCAGAGCTATGAGAATATCCAAGCGACAGCAATGCCATTTCAATCAGCTGGTTGAATAGCATGTCCTTCCTTACCAAAACAAATTCTGCATGCTCTTCTTTGCAATCATACTCAATGGAGTTTTCATAATGTTCCACTACACAGAAAACTGGAAGCATGGTTCCTGTAACACAACAATTTTAAGAAATCAAAATTTCCTTGTTACTTACATGTACTTTCTGAATGGGTTGTCAAAGAAATGCTATGCAGCTGAAATCCTACCCACAGATTCCTGCCAGATATAGGCTACATCACACACATACATCTACAAAATGCTATAACAGGTGTATGTACAGGTCTTGGTCTGCTCTAGAATTCAGTACCTGCTTACAGAAACAGTGAGGTTGGCTGCAGAGAAATAATGTTGGTTGTCCTATCTGATTTGTTGTGAGCGTCTGCAATGTGACTACTTAAATACATACTCTGCAGAAGCCTTCAGAGCAAGCCATTGCAATGCCATCAACATAATTCTGTTTACAATAAAACTTCCCCAGTAGTGCCAAAAATACTGAATTACTAATTGTCACAAAATTTCACCTTTGTCTGGCTGTTCTTCAAATTTCACATTTACAAAACAGTGCAAAAAACCCTCCTCCGAAACCCAAACCCAAACCCCACCCAATCTAATGCTAACTGTTTTTACTGTTTGGAAATAGGCAAGACACACTCAAGTTACATCTAACAAGATACACATTCTGGAAAGAAAAGAAACACACACACCTACACAATTCTAATTATGTCACATTTACTGTAACCCAAGTTACTGCCATTATATGTACTTTGAGCAGCTAACTAGTAAATAAAAATAAAAATACTGTGCCATACATGTGTGCACATAATTAACTTCCCTTTTTCTTTTTAAATTAATTTCAAGGGACTATTTTTACATTTCTGTGGTCCCAATGTATCAAGATGAAGAAAAGGTTTATAAATCATACATCACATCTCTCATTGATCTCAATGAGATGACAGCATTGCCAGTGAAACAGGCTAGGCCTTTTTTAAACATCGGAATATTTGTGGCTCTTAAAATTTCGCTTTCATTTGAGCTAGATTTGGAGTAATAGCCCACTGTTCACGCAGCACCGTACAAGTATCACTCACTTGCTATAGGAAGGAGCTGTTCTTGCGAAATTACAACTGATGACTTAAATGAGAGGGAAGTTGCATGTAAATATAAACACCTACATCCCACTAAGCCAGAGGCAGAACTCTGGCTACCTACACTGATGCAGATCAGACCCCTTTACTGACAAGATCTGAAAGGGTTAAACAGCCGCTACACGAGAGATGTCTCATGGCATAGTGCCAGGAGGGCATAATCTTTAGCATAAATGATGGCAAAGGTTACTTTAACAGGGCGCCCAGGATCGCCAATTAGTCCTACAACGTTAATGCCTCTGTAAGCACTGCCCTATCTACATTTACAGAAGTCATCCAATCCTGGAAAAGGTATATAACGCATATTTGCACTTGTAAAAGTGATTTATCGAAGACATTTAGGTAACTTGAACTATAGAATCTCTTTGTTCATTTTGTTCTCTTACACATACAGTAGCAGATTACAGTGAAAGGCTCCATTTGAATTACCTCTGCACTGAGCAGTTCACCACCAGAGAAATCAGTTTGGCAAATCAATCCTTTCAGGGTTGCTCAGAGAGATGTACAAGCTTCTCTTGGTTTGCTGAATAGGTTCAGCACAGACCACAAACCTAAACATTTGCCAATAATTTGCATCTTATAGCAAGACGCTTCAGGAAGTTGTGTTTGTTTGTTTTTTTAAAAAAAGACTAGAGCATGAATATCATAATGTAAATTGCTGGTTTCTTTCTTGGTTCACTTGTCAGAGCTTGGATAAAATCTGCTTCACAATATGCTTTGACCCATCACTACCCAAACACACAAAGCATGGGAGTAGGGGACTGGATGGGATTGGAACTGCAGAATCTGCACAGATTTTTGCATGCTTTAGAAATACAGTATCAACAGTATCAACTCTATGCTTCCCTCCTACTGACCGCAAAGTAAGAAAATTACATTATTTGGGGGGGGGGAGTAGACAGCCTCCCAACTAAAGCACCCTGGATTTACCCCCAACGGTGCTAAATACAGATTTATTGTGGTATTTTGTATTATAATGGGAAAGTCAGTGTTGTTATTGTGTGAAAGGCCTGCAAGCTCCAGCACTTAAAACACAAACACCCTTCTCAAAGAAGCAGTGCCTCTTCTTGACTACTCTTTTGATATCCCCCTGTAGCTACCAAAAGGTATCATCTGACTACAGATGTTAAATCTCAACAACTTGTCACAAGTGCCCTTCTATTAAATGTGAAAAATGCTAGACAGGAGACCACAATCTCAGCTAGCTGATCACTCTTGCAAGCACTTGGCAAGATCTCCAAGTGCAGCAACTTTATAACCTTCAAGTATTAAAGGGGAAAGCACTGGTCAGTGCTCAATGCTAAAAATACAGCATGATTTAAACCTGAAGGCAGTGTTAGAGGTTTTGCCGAAGGTTTATGAGTCTATGTAAACAGCACGTCTGCCATAAGAAGCAGAGAAGTCTGTAGAATCCTTGTCTAAAACTGTCCTGGCATTAAAGTTTGCTGTGCAAATATCACATAATACTAGAGACAGCTGAAATCTCCTATTTAGGAATTTATGGAACTTATATGTTTGCAGGCGTCAGAAAGTCTTTTTTATATAGCCCCAGTGCTTCACAGCATAATATTAATGCACTCTGTTTAAAAAGCAGCAATAAATTATATTTTTAATGCCTTACCCTGGCTTTCTTAAGATGCATACATTCTTGGCAAACAATCAATAAATAGGGTAATCATGAGCAGAGGCCAAAGAATTTGCTGAAGTGCTGTTTTTCCATTTTTAATAGATACAGATCTAACAATACGGACTGCTGTGTCTGTTCATTCCAAGATCAATATATTCTTTGTTTTCGCCAATCCAAGGAAAAAATAAATGATTGTATGATAAATGTTATGCATCAGAATGAAATGCCATTGCCTTCTAACTCTCTGTGTTTAATTGTCTTGGTTAAATTTTGTATTTTGCTTAGTAAATGCAAGAAGAAATCTGAATTATAAACTAGTAGCAATTATACAGAGAAAAGGAGTGCTAAAACAAAAGCCAAATTATATACAGTACATTTAGATATAAATTAACATGACTGTTGTGTATGATCCACAAAAATCATGTATACTATTAATTCTACTTTAAAATATTCATAATACAAGACATAACGCAGACACACACATACCACAATCAGTCACCGGCTCTAAAAGTGTCTCTTTCTTGTGAGAACGTCTAATTACAGCAAACCAGTCATTGAACAATATGACACCCAAGTTGTTCATTGCTCAGTAATGAATTGTACTTAAGGAAACAAAGTGCGAAAAATGGTCATCATAAAGGAGTTTTCCACTGAACACCAAAAACGCTTTGCATCACTTTCTTGACGCCAACTAGCAAATGCAGTCAACCTTCCAATTTTGGACTCTTGTCAAGAGTAGAAGGAGAAATCTGGCTTTTCAAGAACCTATTATTAATTCACAAGCTATAAAAGTGTTTTGCTCAATGCCCCACACAGAACGAGCTTATTACAAGAGTTATCTTTGACTGGTAGCAGTAGTACTAGGTTCTCAACAAGATGGGTAATCTGAAAGTAAGGAGTCTTTTTCCCCCTATTAAAAAGGACTCCACCCATAAAAATGCTCCACCCAATAATACAGTTCAACATTCCAAATGCCAGGATGAGATACACGTAGTACAGAAAGGTAGTACTGAAATACAAATTATTTTTTTAAAAAATCTTGGAAATATGTTTCTTCTAAAAGACACTATATTGGTTTTTTTTAAAAAAAAATGTTCCATATTCAGAATTATCGTGTTACCTTTTCTAGCATGTGTTTTCATCAGATGTCCAGAGTGTTTTAAAGGCACTCCTTGCATTTTAGTTCCTGTACTTCCAAGTCTTCCTCTTCCTAACGGGCTCCCATTCTGCTCCAAGCGGGCAATTTTGGCTGGTGGACCCTTCGGATCGCTTACATTGTTAGACATTTCTGAATGTTCTTTCCCCTGAGTTGTCTCGTTCAAATGATCCATACTCAGTCCCGCCTCTAAAGATCACCTGCCATGATTTAAAAAAATATATATGTGTTGTATACGCGTGCGTAGTTTTATGTAGGCAGCTTTACACATGTACATGATACATCTGTATAGCATGTTCACATAATATTAAATATGTATCTTAAGGGAAAATACACTCTCAGGAAATTTGCTTCATTGTCAAATTATCTCAAAATCTTACGAATTTCTAAGCCTACTAAATACATTAACTGATTTACAGTATATACAGGATTTTTATCTTAAGAATTCAAGAGTGAGAATAGTAGGTGTGACTGATTAAGTAGCATTCACACAGTAATATACCCACTGCTATAGGTCTCTCAGGTGTATGTTGTAGGGTTATGCTTTCGCACCAAATTTCTTACTTTATCAAAATATTTCTGTTTAATAAAGAGAAGTCGTATATTGTTTTCTCCTTAGGAATAAAGAGGATAAGACTTTCAGCTAGGCATGCAACAGATCAAACTAGTAATATGATACATCCATACGTATCTTTTAATATATAAAAATACCCAGGTTCCCATTGCTCAACAGTCTCTGGGAATTTCTTTTATGTAGCTTAACTTTTTAAACTTAGGAATTAGGTTAATCGACAACAAATAAAAAGATGTAGGTATGTGTTTTCCATATTCAACAGCAGAGTTAAGAAATGCTAGGGCAACTATCACATCTTATAAAAGTCACGTGGAGAAAACACGTCTCTTTGGACAATCACAACTTTTGGGGGAAATCATATTACAAACCTTTCAGCACTTAAAGAAATCCCTGATACATTTTGGATAAATATTAGAATGCTGACAAGAGATGTGAAATGAAATAACAAAACTACATACAACTTACGGTATATTCAGTACTGAAACAGACACCACTGCTTTTGAAATTTTAATTCAGTTCACCATGATTGCTAATTCGTTTTTAAATCGTCATGTTCAATGATACACAGTAAAAGTTACAGATAAGTACTGTTAATACTGACATGTCACAGAGAGAGGGAAAGAAGCTGTTGACTCCTGTGAAAATGTGTGAAAGGTTTTGATGGTACTTTCATTCTGGGTGAATACTTACTTTAAAATATGGTCTCTGCCACCTTTCCTAATTAAAGTTTATCTACAATGCCTGCTTTATTATATACATATATACAGTATGATCTCTAAGAACAGGTGACCAGTCATTTATGAAACAGTACTTACACCACTGAGCATAAACACTGAAACATGGGGGCAGGGAAGGTACAATTAAATAGAAAGAAATAGACTTGTGAATACAGAATGCAGAATAAATCAATTACACTTCTCCAGTTCTGACGAAATCTTCATTTTGGTGAAGATGCTGTATATCCCTATTGTAATTTGTTTCTTGTTTAATCATACACTGCTTTGTCTTGCATGAACACTGTGTTTATCTGAAGGTTTAGATGCAACCTTAAGAATGCCAGCTGAATAACTATAAAGTTTAGAATATAATGGTTATTTATCCTTACACTCTAGGGTGACATGCTGAGAACCAAAGGTTTACCGTTGATTGTGGTCCCATCTGTTTTTGGTTATGAGTCTCATTAACAATAAATATGCCTACTTTAATCACTTTTTTTAATCAAGATTATTCTTTTTCATTACATTAACTGCTATTTAACCCAAAACTGCACATCTAAATTACCAACATCTATAGCATTTGGTAGTGCTTCACCAGAACACTTTTGTCTGAGATTCTAGTATTTCTCTTGTACTCAAACAGGCAAGTCCCCGTCACTCTCTAAAAACTAACACTCACCTGCTAGAAAGAATAGCCATCACAAGCCAGCTCACCATTACCTCCTGCCCAACCAACAAAAGTGATAAGATTACCAATCATTTAATGTATATTGCCTAAACACATGGAACAGGTCGTTTTAAATTGGACTTCGAAGACCCGCCCACTATGCATCCTTTTAGCTCAGCCACCTTGTAAAAAGATTTGTGTCGCAAAGCAAGATTGTGTGCACATAAAACACCTAATTTACTAATTTTGAACTCCATGCTAAAGTTCATCAAAACCTCCACCTGAAATAGTAATGAGCAACTGTCAGCATGGTTTGCCTATAACAACTCTGAAGATGACAGGGCCAAAAGCTTATGCCTGTTTCACCTTCAAGCATTTGTTCTATGCACAAGTTTCCAGCACAAACATTAGTTTCAAGGTACAATTTCCTAAGTGCAATACTAACATAGCAATATGACATTCTAAGCATTTTTCTTCTTAAAAAAATGGAACTCAGCTGTCAGAGCCATCCTTCCTCTAGGAGAATGGAGTATTGTATTATACCTTCAACACTTCGAGAGTTAGCCCCCTCCCCTTTCTTCTCTTTCCCCTCCTCCTCTCTCCAGATAAAACCCCTTAATCACATTTAAGAGAGGCTCTGTTCTTATCCATTCCATATGGCTGTCATAATCCAGGCCAAGCTTTCACTGTGACCTTTTAAAGAGACAAAGAAGCAAAACACTATCTAGAAACAGGAACACTGCAGTTTTGAGCGAAATTTTATAAAAAGACCTGAAACTCACCACTTCAAAACTTGACAGCATATAAATAATGGAAACAAAGGAGATTTCCTTTGCACACCGATCTCTTGAAGAGGAGGAAGAAGCTCGGGTCTGATGTTTTCTAAGTCCTTTTTTAATCAAAAAAAATTAAGGAAACCTGGAGGATACCTCCCTCCCAAAATTCTATTTTTCTGGGGAAGGGGAAACACATAAGCAAAGCATCACAGCCATGGGAGGGGGAGGCAAGAAGCGGGGGGGGGGAGGGGGAGGGCAGAGGTTCCAATTAATGTACTGAGAATCGTAGTCTCACCAATAACGGGGAATGAAAAAGTCTAAAAAATTAACCAGACAAGTGTAATGCTCACAATAATAAAAGTTTCTATTAAAGGAAAAGAAAAGCAAAACTGAGATAAGTTGTAACCTGTCTAACTCTGCTTTCAAAAAAAGTGTAAATCAGAGAATGAAGATGGGGAGGAAATGAAACAGCTCTTCTGCCTAATATTTCTGAAAACAGAAAATGTATTGATCTTGTCCCTTACAATTATTTTCTAATAAGACACAGGCACACAAAAAATAGAAGCTAAAGACATCCCTTCCCCCTTCCCCCCAAAAAACTAATCCAAAAACTTTCTGCATAAACCCTCCATAGAAAAAGAAACATAGCAAAAAAACGTAAAAAGGATATTAGAAAAGTTCCAGTAAAGGCACTAAAATTCAGTTTCACTATTGTCCTTGCTGTTCGGGGTTTTTTTTTATAATCATCATCATAATAATGCAGAAAGCCTCTCCTTCCTCATTAACCCAGAGAGATTGCGTTTGGGGAGGGAGGGAGGGAGGGAGGGGGGAGCGGAAGGAAACAGTCACCACCAAAAGTAAAAAAAATTATCAAAAAATCACTTCACTTCGGAGAAGAGAATTAAAAATAAAAAAATAAAAAAATAAATCTACTTCCGAAGACTTAGGGAGAAACGAAAGCTGGGGAGAGAAGATGAGAGGAGGGTGCAAGAAGGGAAAATCAGGTTACCCCAAATAGTAATAACAAAATAAATCCTGTGAGCTTTCAAAATTCTTGTTGTCCCTCGGCTGGCTATTATGGTTATTTAGGCCGGTTTGGTGGTTGTTGCTGGATGTTACAGGGTGGTGTGTCTGCGTGTTTGCGTGTGTGTGTGTGAGTGTGTGTCCCCCGGACGTTCGTTGCTTGCTTGCTTGCTCGCTCTCCCTCTCGCTCGCTCGCGCTCTCCCTCTCTCTCTCTGTCCCCATTAAATTATTAGTTGACTCATCACTCCTCCTCCTGCTGCTGCTGCTGCCGCCGCCGTCCCTTCTTCTGCTCCTTCCTCTATTGCTTTCTGCTCCTGCTGCCGCCGCCGCTTCTTCCTCCTTCTCCTCCTCCTCCTCATTTTAATACAAAATAACACCGAGGGCCACCGGCTTTTCCCCCCTTTCTTTTTTTTTAAATATGTATACAGCCCAAGACAGGAGGAGGACGTAGCCTCCCTGCTGCTGCCTGGAGCTCTTCCCCGGCGGCCCCGGATCATCCGACGCGTCCTGGGAGGGAGAGAGAGAGACACAGAGACAAGCAGGAGGAGGAGGAGGTGGCGGCGGCGGTGGAGTAAACTGGGGCGGGAGGGGGGGTGGAAGGGAGAAAGGACATCTAGAAGGGGAATTGGATTAAAAAAGGGGGCTGGAGGGTTAAGGCTGAAGGGGGAGGGGGTTAAAAGTGAGGGGGGGGGAGAGAAAGAGAGAGAGAGGCAAAGGGAGGGGAAAAGAGAGAGCCGAGGGGTGTGCGATTTCCGGCACAGGGCGCGCAAGAATTTGTAATCAGCTTGATTAGTGTGAGGCGGCTGTGCATTTATTACACACAATACCCAGAATAACAGGGAGCAATGCGAAAACTGGGAGAGGGGAAGAGATGCCGCCGGCAGCTGCACGAGGCGAAAACGATTAGGGAGTGCGGAACGGGCTGGCGAGAGGGACAGGCCAAAAACAGCGGCGGCGGCGGCGGCAGAAGCGGAGGCCACCTTCCTTGCGCAACGAGAGAGGGCGCGCAGGGGTTGGAGAGTCTGTGGAGAGGGGAAGAGGAACCAAGGAGCCGGGGAAGGGAAAGCAAGGAACAGCAGGCGCTACTAGAGTCTTGCAGCCGTGCGATAAACACACACACACACACACACACACACACACACCCGACCGCCTTCCCAACATCAGCCCGGTAGCAGCCATGACCTAAGCAGGAGAGGGCAAGGGCGCACGCCCGCCCATCGGGTGCCAAAGGCGAAGGGAGGCAACTCTGGTAGCGCACTCAACAGACTTGGAAACAAAGTAGGAATCGGAAGAACGCGGGCATCTGTGCGGGCAGCGAGATCGCCGGGGACCGGGGGGGGGGGAGAGGGAGAGCAGGTGCCTGCGAGGCATGGAAGCATATGGCTGGCAGTCATGGTTCCATAGCGAGGGAGAAAGGATGTAGTGCGCCTGTGTATACTCTTGTTTGGGAGCGGGGGCGCGGGGGGGGGGAACCTTAGAGGTGAAAGTTCTCCTTTCGAAAAGTTGGCAGGGTATCAGCAGATCTGCAGTCTACGTGCCAGTTCAGGTGACCCGGCTCCAAGGAAATATTACATTTGGGCAGGCACCGTTGCCTGTTGTAAACACGGATACGTGTGCACTGCGTTGTATTTCCATGGAAGTAGTTCTGCACAAAGAACAGGTTGCATTGAAGATGCTTTTCTTGGGAGCGTGCCACTAACAAGCAGAATAATTCGGATCTCTAGGGCTGGGGTCTACAAGCCTAGCAAAAGCCAGATTGCGCCCATTTGTAGGGGGTCCTTAGCAACATGTCAAAAGGTAACAATTGGCAGTCATTCAATGGAGTCATTCCATACTGAGACTCCAGTGTACTTCTGTGTCTGGTATTGTAAATAGTGATACTGTCCATAGTTAAGGTGACAGGTATCTTACATGAAGTGTCTTGCAGACTGTAAGTGCAAGAAACCTAGTAATAAAAATGGATTAACCAAGAGAACTTTCAGGCTTAAACCTAAGCATGTTTATTTGGATGTAAATCATGTTGGCTACAATAGGTTAAGTTGACATTTGAAGTCTTTTTCTATTAAATGGGGGAAATGGACAGGGTACCACGACACAGGAGTTATGATCTGACAGTGTAAGGAACTTCATATACTTCAATTTTTGTTTTGCACTGAGGAAGGGGTGAAAGTGAAGGAAGGGGAGCATTAAAACAACTCCTTAAAGGTGAAAGAATATTACAAGAATAGGACCCTTGTCATCCTGTCCCAGTGCTGCATTCATCCAACAGAGAGGAGGACTGAATACTGCCGTTTGGGATGAAAAGTTGGAAATGAACAATAGTACAAAGACAGTATGAAACTGGGCAGACATAGTCATCTTTAATAACCTAGAAAAAATGTCTAATGCTGTTAATCTTTGTTCACGTGAATCAATTCACAATAATAATGAACAGCCAAATACATGAAAATGTGGTACTGAACACTTTCCAAGTTAGAAAGCTATTGGCCGCTGGTTGAAATGGAATTTAGTATACCTTCCATATTGGTGGAAGGAAGACCAATGCTTAGGGACAGAAAAGTACAGAAGGTGGTAAATTATTTATTTGCAACTATAATAATTATAATTATGAGCACTATAATGCACATGCTGTACCAGCTAGAGAAGGAAGAAGACCACACTGGCAGATAGGAAGAAACAGTCTGCAAACAATCCAAGGGGATAGATGCTTATATACTGATAATGATAGGGGGTGGGGTGGAATACAAGTTCACAAACATGCTGGCTGTGATCCAGAGACCAGTTAAGCCAGACAACTTGAAATACAAGATACTTTCATCTTACTCCTTCATTCTTTAACCCAAGTACAGCAACATAATTGGCTTCTGGATCAGACTAATTATTAATTGATGTGTATGACTGGCAGAATCTTTACTTGTGTTACCTCAAATGCAAATGTATTTTTAAAAAACAAGAAATGAGGGTGCTGTCATATAAGCTTAAGGAGTTTTCCTAAATAGGCAACAGGAAGATGATTCTTTCATAACATGCACAATGAAAAATGGAGTATTATGAACTTTGAACACAGAAAGAGTACAAATTAGTAAATGCTCAGAAAAAACAAGTGTATTAAACGCACACACACCTTACTATAACACCAGAACAAAGCATCAAAGTTACATAGAGAAATATAGGCTGACGTCTACTGAAGTAAACACAAATACCAAAGAGTGTGTGCAGAAAATGGTAATGGGGTGAAATGTATAAAATATTTATAACAGCCAGCAATGCACAGAATAGATTATTGTGTTAGAAATAAAGAGCATGAGGCCTGAAACATAACAGTGTTATACAACAGAGTTATTTCAAGGAGTGCAGCTGAAGGTGGAATAATTTAACATTCAGTGTGTCTGTGGGCTTGCCCAGAGACACACAATATTTATTGCTGGTGACTTCACACATGCATCTTTATCACTCAGTATCCCCAACACATGCAAGTGATTACCTGCATGTGTAAATCACCCACCACGGATCAAGCAATTGCATGCTTTTGCATCCCTTTGCATTATTTCAAGAACTGTTATTACGTTGCAGTTCAGCTAATGACTATCCAGTGATGAGCTGTGTATGAGATCATCCAGGGAGACCCTTCTCAATGTTTCTCCACTGGCAGCAGTTAATTTGGTGAGGACATTTAATGGGCCTTCTTTGTGTGTGGTGCCACCATAGCCCTGGAATTCCTTTCCCCCTGAAATTCATCTACCACTCACTTGGTTGACCTTCAGGTATCAGGTGAAAGTTTGGCTGTTTGTTCAGTCCTTTAGACAATAAAGTTGCAGGTTTGATGTCCTTGCTCCAGTCCTATGTATGTATTTATATTTGTTTTAATTGAAATGGCCGATTTATACATCTTCTTGTACAACATCTAGAGAGATTTGGATGCAAGGCTGTATACTGGGAATTAATATAGATAAAATAAATATGCATGAATGTGAATCAGCCCCAAGCTTGTAGTCTTTAAGCCAATTCATCCAATACAGTCTCGTGACACCAGTGACACTACTCCAGAATAACTTTGCTCTTAGTTTGCCTTCTCTTTCTACTTGCATTAGCTTTAAGAGTTAAGACAATTACTTCACTGAAGTTTGAGTACAGGCCACAAGCTAGTTAAGACAATATCTGTGCATTTAAGACTTTTTAGTTCCGATACCACGAATAAAGGCTCACAAACCACTTGGTTCAGAACAGTCCCAAAGGCTTAAAATTAGATTTTAGGTACCGTATACTGTTTCATGTGGGAGAGGGGGAAAAGGGAAGTCCTATCGCACCAGCAAAAGTCCATTCTACTGGAAGACAGTCACAATTGGATATCACCCTCTTACAATGTAATCAGCAAGCTATTTAAAATTCTGAACCTGTATTTATACTTGTTTAATCCAAATTAAACCGATTTTAGTCCAAGTATACAACTTTAAGTGATTTCTCAATCAACTCTAAAACGAAGTCCACATTCTAAAATAGGCAACCAGTCAGACTTTTTGTGTCCTTTGCATTCATTAATCTGAATTCTGAATAGGATTTCAACCATGGAAGCATATGTCAAGCACATCCAGTCCTTGACAAAGTATCCAGATTGTGGTTGGATACAGTTAAAATCTTTTGACAATAAACGATCAAATCACCAAATCATAATGAAAGGGATTCATTGTTGTTTTGAATCGTCATACAACAATTTAGGTATCCTTCCTGGAATATCATGGTTAAGGATAAATTAAGAGAGTACTGTGATAAAGTAATGAACCTGAAACAAAAAATTATGTAGTACCTAGCATGGTGATAAACAGATATCAATCAAAAGCAATCAATATTAGTGTTCTAAAAATGCATATACCTCCATATCACAAATTGCTTCTCTGTAATGGGCTAAAACTTGGAATGCAAACAAACTGAATGGTATGGAAATGTAGACATAGGAATTCTAAATGAGAATCTATGGGTTATATCTAAGTAGACACAGTGAAATTAATGGGCCTAAATCTGAGGAACTGAGGCAGATAGTGGTGATGAAAGATGAAGTTCTAGGCCTAATAGATAAAATAAAAACCGACAAATCGTCAGATCCAGATGGCATCCACCTGAGAGCTCTCCCAAAGAACTGAAATGTGAAATTGCTGGTGTTCTGACAAAAACATATAACTTGTCCCTCAGATCAGCTTTCATACCTAAGGACTGGAAAGTAGGCAATATAACATCAATTTCTAAAAGGGATTAGAAGCGGGGTGGGGGGAGGACCCTGGAAACTGCAGTCCAGTTACCTTAATGACTGCCCTAGGAAAACTGGAAAATATTGTTAAAGATAAAATAACTAAGCATGTAGAACAAGCCTCACTGAAGAAGACTCAGCATGGCTTCTACAAGGACAAATATTTTCTCATGGACCTTTTAGAATTTTCCTAAGAGTGTCAACAAGCATATAGAAAGAGGTGATCTAGTTTAAAAAGTTTAGTAGTCCTGGAATAAAAGAAGAGGTCCTCTTGTGGATCGGGAATTGGATCAATATTAGGAACCTGCCACAACGTAGGTCAAAGCTCTTTACAGATCCCACCCTGCAAATGTTCGCTGAAAAAATATTGGATGATGCTACAAGAGGTACC